ATATATATATATATATATATATATACAACTCAACATTGATAGCTATATAGCTGGCAAATTAACATCATTGTTAATTGTGAATACAAAGTGAGATTAATATGAATCTTGTTTGGATATATTTCTCTTGTTGAAAACAACCCACATACAGTAAGTCCATTTAAAACATTAAACGGTTCACTGACAGCTGTTTAAAGAAAGGTTTCTATTTGTGGTGTCAAGGGTGTCTCATAAAATTTTTCTAGGTTAATTGTGTGGAGTAGATTCTGAGAAATATGCTTTTTTCGTGCTACTGAAATAATGAACTTTTGGTGACATGTGGCTTTCATTGAACAGCGACGATATACTAATAAGACTGACCTTCAGCTGACATCGTTTTGTATGCATTCTCCAGTAAAACTAGCAGTTTAGTGATGTGTTCCTGTATTCCTCTAGTCAGCGTCAGCCCAAGGCATGAAGGCATGAGCGAAATCAGTGGCTGCTTATGGCCCAGCAGCTACTCCCCCCCACCCAAGGGGAAGGAAGATAACAAATAGCTACTATGTTAATCAAAGTTTTCTTAGGACCTAGAAAAGGGTTGGGTTGGCCCAGCCTCTAGGTAAACAACAAAGATGAAATGGAATGGGTCATTCCAAGACTTTTTCAGTAATAAATCAATATTACATTTTAGGGGCACCATTACTGTATGTAAGAATAGCTACTTAGTAAGAGCTACACTTTGATTATTTAGTTGAGGTATTTCATAATTATTTTTATTGTCATAGAGCCAGCTTAAGCTGCACCACCTACAGTATGTGACTAATCAGTTAAACAGTTTATTATGTTGACAGTTTAAAAGAAAGTGCAGGAGTAAGAAAGGCTACAGCCCTGGGTGGGGCTCCTAAGCTGTGACTGGCATAAAACAGCACAGACGGATTTTACATCATACAGAGCCAATAAGACGCTTGGACACGCCTGATTTTAATGCATTTCTCTCTATGTTAGCTACTGTATGTTATTCACTGTATAGTTGCAGAACAGGCCTGAAGGGAATGAAATAATACAAATCAAACATTGTAGCAACCAAAGAAAGTGTTCCACAACTCAAACATTTCCATCCATCCATCCATCCATCCATCCATCCATTATCTTCCGCTGGATCCGAGGTCC